AAGCTTCTCACCCCTGTCTATTTTTATCCATCAGTTAGTGTCAACAAGGGTTTGAAGATTCCCAGGAGGATGTCATGTTTGGACCATGGCGCAAATGTGTCGTATATAAATGAGGGTGGACCCTCAAATGTTGGAATCGTCCGCATCCAGTTCGAGCGCTCCGGTTCCCATGGAGCCTGCTAAATAAACTCTGAGGAAAAGTGCTCCGTTGTGAGTTGGGTAAATAAGCTAACAAAATAACATAAGTTCGCTGCTGTTGTGGTACAGTGCGATTACCGTTGGAGTCTGATGACTAAAGTCTAGGCAAGCACCTGCTCCAAAGAGGCGAAAGGCCTTGGCCTGATGAGGATCCACTCCGGAATCTGACCCACAGCGCGTATTCAGCAGCACCACTTGCTCCTAAACCGTCATCGCTCCGCAACACATGTCTTGACTTTTAATTTTTTATTCTTCGGAAAACCACAATTTTAGCATGCCTCTCAACATGAGAGTCTCTGAAGTATTCCTTGTAATCTTCTGTGCAGTAGTACAGTATAGAGTACATTTTTAGTCTTGTTATTATGATAAACCGTGGATGGGTGCCGGTGTCACAAATATCACCGAGCAGTCGCCAGAGTTCCCAGATCAAAGGAGAGGTAACTTTCGATGCCATCGTCAGGAAGAGTGAAGCGGTAATAATGAGTTACAAATTCCATCTACACGACAGTGGCAAGGAGTAAGTAGTGAAAGTTCAGCGTCCACAATTCATGAGTGCAAACGTACCGCAGAAAGGAACATGGTTTTATAAAGATTTTGATCAAATGGCGAAACAGTACAATACTGCTCCTATATATCTCGAAGCAGTTTATGGTTAGTTTATTTAGCTGTCATACTACAGTCTATGTCTATCAACAGAAAGAGCAATACACGCATGACACGTTCTGCTTCCATGCTTTTTCTTTTCCTTCTTGCGTTTGCTCAGACGCTCGTTATTTCCCTATGAAATCGGCTTTGGTGATTATTGCCTGTCTTAAATCCCTAAGGCAGCGTTCATAGTTCGCGACAGCAGCGGCGATCGCCGCGATCGTCGGTGCATGGCAGCGCGCGCCCCAACGCTATTACTTGCGCTCCGAAGGCTTCTGGGGTAAGCGGCTCAATTTTATGCTTTTTTTCCTTTAACTGCAATTTCCTTAGGTACTGAAGCTTGGTTTGACACAAGGGAAGGTGAGCCCAGCTTAATCGCTTTTGTTTTCTATTTTCTTTCTTGTAGGTAGAAATGAGCAAAAGGCGCGAGAGCTTCACTTAAGGTACGTTTTTATTGCTTCTTTTTTTCATTCGTCGAGGTTGTACATGAGGTTTATGAAGTTTTCACCTGTTGATGTCGCGTAAAATGATTAGTGTTTTGGTTCCTAGGAGAGTTTCTTTCTTTTCTTCTGTTTCTTTTTTTCTTCGTTGTTTGAACTCGACTTGTAAACTATGAATGTTTTGGAAGTTGGAACAGCCTTAGACGATAGGAATTCCTGAGGCGCATGCATAAACTGAAGCAATAAAAACAAAAAAAAAAGAAGCTCACCCAGGAAATGGAGTTGGTCTTACCCCGACCTAAAAGGAAGTGAAACCTTCTTACCTCATATTCCAGATCTGCTTATGTGTAGAAAGTCGTAGCTTATCTGTTAGTAGCCCTTATTAAGAGTAAAGAAGGTCTTACAAGTTGAATTCCCTTATTCATCAGGCGAGCATCCACAATAGCGTTGGGGCGCGCGCTGCCATGCACCGACGATCGCCGCTGCTGTCGCGAACTATGGACGCCTGCCTAAGCAATTGATTGGATCGCTGGTTTAAAAAGTGTGACTGGATTTTGGAGAGCTTGCTTATTTTTGGCCGATGATTGCTCGCTTCATATGGGAAGTGACGGAAAGGTAGCTGGCGCCACGCCAAATTCCTTTTCACACCGACCGCTTCATCGATTTGGTTGTTAAGGACCGCAAGCAAAAAAAATGAAAATGCGAACACCCCCCCCCCCCCCCCCCCCCCCCCCCCCCCACTTCTGATCTTCCCGACGTCTCGCTCACCTTTGATGACCTTCGAGATAGTGACATATATTTTAGTATGCCTCTATCCGCTTTAATAGGTTTTGTTTCCTGGTAGCGTAATAGGCCAGTTATCGTGATAAGTTTTCCATGAGCATGGAATTCCTTTCGCTTTAGCTCTTTATGCTCAGTCAGTCAGTTTGCACTTAAGTGTTCTGCTGCCATGGTCAAGGAATGAACCACTCCATTTCCAAAATGTGTTCCGCGACTACCTGATAGATACAATCTCGTCCTGGTACAGGTGGTCCAGTCTCGGAATTTGTGCTATTTTTGCAGCTCCACAGTGAGTGAGTGAGTGGACACTTGGTAAATTCATTTGGTGAAGGACTGCCAGCCATCTAGAGCAAAATATGTAAGCGGGCCTATGCGTACGGACACGGGTATGACGTCTAGTGTTTATCCTGTGTGGGGACGACCTGGGTCTCTCTCGTTTTTGAGCTCATCTAGCTGTTTCCACACTCTTTGCCTCTAGTCTCACATCCAACAGTGTCTCCTTTCTTCAGATATTCAGCCAATCCTGTTATTTAAAGCATTCACCAATTTGTCCCCTTTTTTTTCTTTTTTGCTAGAAATGTGCCTTTGAGGGGCCTAGCTTCTTGTCCACAAGCGCAATGCGCAAGGAGGGTCGGGGGCCAGACGCTTCTCGTGCTTGCCTGCTGCCCACTAATCCTGATGAAAGAAGAAGAAAGTACAGCATCAAGAACTTCTCGTCTTCCCATTCAAGCCTCGTTCTACAATATGCTCATAGGCCAGTATGACTGGAATAAGGAGACGTTATGAGGAATAACGCTAGGGTTCGAAAAAGAAACTTCCTGAAATGTTCATAGCTATCGTTTAGAAAGCTGTGAGTAGACAAGTTCTCCTTCACCACGTTCATTATCAGTTTTCCAGAATCTACTGTACCAGGTGGTCCCATCGGTGGCCAATCAAACGTAAGCGTTAGAAATGATCACCTGTCATATTTGCTCACATGGTTAGTGGATTCATCGTTTTTTTTTTTGATTGTCTTATTACTCTGGTTTTCGCTTTTATTTGATTTTTAATTCCAGGTTTTCGCTAAGTGCAGTGACGTTAGCGATGTGGTTTGTTCGTTTTAGAAAATAGTGTAAAGGTTGTTATACGATTGTTGGTTAGACATTATAGTTATCCTATATAAAAAATTACATTCTGGCGTTCTATGTCGCACATCTGGTTTCCAGCTTATACTTGTCATTTGGTGATGTTCATCTAATTATCGTCGCAGAGCAGTTTCAGTCTAGAACTTGTGAAAAGTGAGGTCGCGATTCTCTCTACCGGAATTTGAACCGTTGGCCATTGGCCGATGCGCGGTTATCTAGCCAGTTTTCATTTACATCGGCTGCAGCCGGTTTCACAGTGGTGTGAATGAACAAACTGAATCTTATCAATTGGTAATTTCTGCCAAACTGCCGCTTTTTAAGCCGTTTCTGAGTGGTACCGCTTTGACAGCTCTTGGGTAGTCCTCTTTATTCTTATTAATGTCGCTATAAATTGGAGCTTACTAGTACGCGTTTTTGTAGCTGCATTAGTGCCTCGCTTGGAACACTTTCTTTCAAATTCTTCTGGGTTTCCACCATTTTCTTTAGGCGATCCGAGGATACTTCATGTAGTTATTTGCAGGTGAAGCGTACTCGACTCTTGCGCTGCATTATACAAGTGATTCTACTCCTTGGTTAACAATTGCTGATGTCAGTTTTCATGTCACGTGTTTTATGAAATAATATATTGTCAGTGAATCGAGATTTTGGTACTTCATTGTTTTTAGAAGGCATCGTTCTGGAATGGCTACTTCTAACGTCTGGATAATTTTAATAGTGCTAGGGACAATTTTCCTTGAATGTCATGGGAACACGGGCGAAGCTGCTATGCCTGCTGATTGGACCGATCCCAATGACCCGACGTTGTCGCAGCGGAATCCTTTTCAAACAGGACAAATTGCTGAAGTACCCAGAGATGTGAAGGTGTGTTTTATTTTCAACATGAACGGTATATATCCTCATTATTCTAGTTTTTCCTTTTTGAGGATTTCAGCGGCAGCGGAAATGAGGAAAATATTATCCTTCTTGTGCAGCTAGAGAGAGAAAATTTTCTTCATTTCTTCCGCGATTGCAAGTGTCATGCCTTCGCTTCACTGCACTCCAGTAACAGAGGGAGCTAGTAATGGCAGAGGTAGCAGGATGTTAACAATCCTGATAACGCCCTCTTTTCAACACGGTGAAATGAAGAATTGGCTCGGAAGTGTGTTCATTCTCCGCAATCTGGTCGCTCTGATCGGTTCGACTGGCGCCGGTTGCCTACTCCGGCTCAGGTTAGAAACGATCAAATGCCCAAATGTAGAACCACCCCTAGGGGGCGTTTCTATAGTTCATAAAAAACGTCCTGGAGAGAAGTGCTACTGGATATAGGGAGGGGCTGATTCTTCCCCCCCCCTCACCGCCCGTTAATTCGCTCATCGCACACCTTGCGCACATTACATCATTAGGTAACTATAAGCTCTGCAATGCGTAGTCAGTGGTCGTCCGTAGCCGGCCGTCTCCTTCAAACTTCATGAGATCCTCTATTTTATTCTCTGCTTGGGAAAACGCCTTTTTAGAATCAGGCAACCTACTCAATGAAAACTTGCTCTCGCATGTTATTCGAGGGAAGTAAACATTAAACATGAAAGTAGAGCAAACATCTTTTGATCTTTTTAGGCACCCGTTGTTTACGATCCAACGTTACGGCTCATTTTGCGTCAGATGTTCAAAGAGCTTCGTGTTGATCCATTGGAGAAGACTTTCTTTTCGCGCAATGCAAAGTTAGTTTCATTCGTTTCACTGTTTATACGAACATCCCATTGATCTCTTGAATATCTCCAGCGTTCCAGCCTCTCCTTGACTTTGCTTTATTGAGCTAACGTTTCTGCTACAGTAGTCGTCTTCGAATGCGGTAAAGGGGTGGATCTGAAGAATCGCTTCACATGCTTTGCTTCAATCCTTATAGGAACCAAGAAAGGCGACCATGTCTGAAACTCTGAGAGTAAAACTGTTGCAGTCTTGTAAGGTCTTCTTCTTCTTAGGCAGCGTCATACTTGTAGCGCTACAGCGTCGCTACAGCGTAGCGCTACAGCGCCGCTTCGCAACGTACTGCAATTTCCAACGTTAGGATGATTAGAGTTGCTTACAGAGAAAAGTGGGAAGGTTGCTGGAGTTTTCTTGAGAAATTCACGGAAAGGTGAGACTGATACAGCTGTAACTATCTGACGCCATCCTTGACAGTTACTCCATTAGTCACTATTTTTCTGGTACTGCTTTTAGCGTAACAGTGTCCTTCTGTCCTATTAAGAGCATTTTCTGCAAAAAACACCCAAAGAGTACTCGCGCCACCTAAAACATCATGGCTTGCCATCTGTACGTGGATGCCAAAAACTATTTCGTCATCGGAGTCAACGTGAGGCACCACTGCAAGGCATCAAGCAAAGCCATCAAACATCAATAGCAACTCTGAAACCAAATAATTAAAGTCAAAAACGATAAATAAAACCAATTATAACAGTCCTCTGTATCAGAAATTACATTAAAAAGTGATAAGGTAGACAACAGGAGCTCACTATCAGATAAATATGAGAAATAAAGAGAAGAGGGTATTGAAACAGCAAAGAATGAATACAGGAATCCAATGCCGCCATGAGATTAGGAAAACGGGGGGAAAAAAAATCTGCTATCAGAATTCGCACCAATCTCTGCCTTGGCATCACAAGAAAAAGATTCATGCCGCGCGTTTTCGAGGCATTACCCAACAAAGCTTTGACAGTTTCTTGTACTTTTTTTGGCCCAGGAGCGTAAAAATGGCCTTATCTCCCACAACAGGCACGCGAACACTGTCTGGTCACCAATGCGTTAACACAAGGCAAACAAGAAGTTCCTTTATGGTTCTTCTGTCTCCGGTAAAAAAAATGCGTGCGAGCCCAGCGGTTTTAGGTGGCGCGAGTACTCTTTGGGTGTTTTTTGCAGAAAATGCTCTTAATAGGACAGAAGGACACTGTTACGCTAAAAGCAGTACCAGAAAAATAGTGACTAATGGAGTAACTGTCAAGGATGGTCAGATAGTTACAGCTGTATCAGTCTCACCTTTCCGTGAATTTCTCAAGAAAACTCCAGCAACCTTCCCACTTTTCTCTGTAAGCAACTCTAATCATCCTAACGTTGGAAATTGCAGTACGTTGCGAAGCGGCGCTGTAGCGCTACGCTGTAGCGCGACGCTGTAGCGCTACAAGTATGAACGCTGCCTTATTCTTCAGCGTTTGCCCCGCTCTGTAGCGGGGTCCGCTCTCCTAATTTTGTTACGCCATTTATTCCGGTCGAATGCCTGATCAGAATGAGCACCAAAACTGATTCTTGTGATTCCGGCAGTTGCACGTAAGTTCAGCCAACGTCTGCCTGGGGCGTCCTCTCGGTCGTTTGACGAGCACCTCGAGCTGGAGACCAGTTTAGACACCAGAGTCTTGTGAGATCTGACGGGCGCTTTTAGGCTTGCGGAAGGCATTTTACACCTTCGGTAGTTCTCTTGGTTAGTTCGCTAATTAAGTAACAAGGTCAAACTATTGGTCCAGACCTGCTGAAACTCCTGCCTGAAATTTGCGAATTTGTTCGAGTAAGGGATACTTTGGTCGGGAATTCACGGGTCTCCGCAAGGTGGCCTGTACAAGCTTAATTCAGTACTATTCGATGCACCCTCAAGTCGAACTGTGCACTTAAACCAAGGTAGTCGCTCTACTGTTTTTGTGTGTTTTGTTACTTTGCAACTGGATCCCATGCATGGCTTAATTCAGAGTTTCTTTGTCTTCTCTGAACATGAAAGTTATTGGATCGTATCTGGAGATGGATACTCTGGAAAATGAGCTATCTATAAAGGAGCAAGTCCGAGGTGCACTACATAACATGTTTGAAGTGGCAAGTATCTTCTATTCTATCTGACTATTTTTATTTCGGTTTGTTAAGAAATGTGCTAGCCACTCGTGAGTAGCATTTTTACCTATTCCTCATGTTCAGTATGAGGTCGACAAGCCACCTTCGATTTGGCAAGAACTGCTCACGATGGCTCAACCATGGCTATCTTTACTCAATATGATTATTCTCGCTCCTGCTTTATTCTTCCTTTTGAAGACAATAATGAGGTTAGTATCAACAGGGAGAAACTTGTGCTTCATTCTTAGCTGAGTTTTGGCCGTTGCTTTAGCACGTTTGATTTCAAATGCAGAACTTGCAAATAGGGATATTTTGCTCCTCATGTGATACAGTTTTCTCGTCACTAGTTGGTTGAAAAACAGCTAGTGCAAATCCATAGAGAAAATCCGAGGGAAAACAGCTAGTGCCAACCCCAGGGGGAAAACCGAGGCTTGCTACTTAATGATACACTGTAAAGATGTCTGTGAGTTGAATCCTCCGTTTGCGAGATATACACCCCTGAAAAGGTAACATCCGATTTTCAAAAATACGTGGTGGTGAAGCCAGAGGCTCGTAATTGCTTAATATTCCTTATGTCCCAGCTAGCCATTGGTCGCGCAGGCCATAACGTTACCAATCATTCACGCTACTTATACTCCCTCTCACACACAGTGTGGCTACCGGTGCTAAATGCGAGCTCCCCGCTTTCCTCCTCTGGTACGACCTCCTTCCTCATTCTAGCTAACTATCATCTTGAAATCTATTTGCAAATTCCTACCACTTTTTCGAAATTTTCAAAAAAATGTTCCAGATTTTCCCAAAATTTTGCCATAAAAGTGGTTGGGGGAGAGGATACACAGCACATGCGAATTCAGAAAAACGGTCTTAAGCAACAACCAGAAAGTTCTCCCAAGACCCGACCCCCGCTGGGGGTCCCCCAGCATACGATTGTCCCTGTGCAGCCTTATTGCCACGAACTTGTGTTAAAGGAGTGTCATACTTCTAGACCTGAAAGCC